TTAACATTAAAATTATGTAACCAGGACTGGTGTGATAATGCAGTGTGTAGTGCATTTTCCTTGCATTCTACTGACCAGGGTTTGATCCCCAGCACTTGATATCATCCTCTATTTTTTTGGGTCACACCCGGCAATGCACAGGGGTCACTCCTGGCTCTACACTCAGAAATTACCCCTGGCGGTGCTCAGGGAACCATATGGGATGCTGGGAATCGAACCTGGGTCGGCCGCGTGCAACTCAAACGCCCTACCTGCTGTGCTATTGCTCCAGCCCCTCATCTGATTCTCTTAGCCCCACCAGGGTTGAACCCTGAGTGGAAAGCCAGGGTTCTGAGCACAGCCAGATGTGGCCTCAAAACAAATGAAAAAAATTAAATATATTTTTAAAAGATCACTTGATCACTTGACATCCCGTTACTCATGGATTTGCTCGAGTGGGCGCCAGTAATGTCTCCATTCATCCCAGTCGCTTGCTAGTGTAGCCCAATGGTGTCTGCTCGTTCTAGGAACATGAAGAGCCTCAAACCAATCATTCAGGGTCTTGATGAAGAAGTCTGACCATCTCGTAGGTGGGTGGCCATGCAATCTTTTGACGTCCCGTGGAATCCAGTCGGTAACAGCTCTAGTCCAGCAGTCATCTTCAAATCTCATAACGTGTCCATCCCATCTGATTTTTGACATCTTGGCAAACGAGACAGCATCCCTGATTCTTGACTGTCGATGGAGGTCGGAACTCCGGATTCTTTCTCTCATTTGAGTGAAACGTGATACTCCAAGCATAGCTCTTTCAATTCCTCTTTGGGAGACCCAAATAGCGTTCTCATCCTGTTTTCGTAGGGCCCAGGTCTCTGAGGCGCATGTTAGTGCAGGAAGAACAGAGGAATCAAAGAGGTGCCCAGAGCCAGAGGTTCTTCTTCCTCTTAACTATTTCTTTGATGCTTTTAAAGGCATTCCAAGCTGCTCTCTTCCTCCTGCACAATTCAGATGCCAGTTCATTCGTCATGTTGACTTCTCGACCTAGGTACACATAACTGTTGCATGTGGAGATGTTTGTTCCAGAACGAGACTGTTTCTCATAAACACTGTCTTCGTGAGATTCAGCTGTAGTCCGACCTATTTAGGCTCATTCATTTTTAAAAGAAACCTTATTTAAACCAAGCCACTTCTGTAACAATATAATTTGTGGTGTTCAGGACTTACTCCTGGCTCTGTGCTCAGAGATTAGACTTGGCAGGGCTGTGGGACAAGATGGGGGAATGGGAATTGGATCCAGGTTGGCAACAATAAAATATTTTTAAATAAAGTTCAGTATTGAAGACATATAAATATATATAGAAGTTTATTTTAGCTGTTCTCTTTTCTTGTCTTATTGCTTTCTCTAGTACTTCAACTCTATGTTGAATATTAGGATGATTATTTTCAATCTTGTTGATTAAGATGTGACTAGATACATTCAGTTGATCTGGCCATAAACCAGTCTATTTCATGAAGCCAACAAAAAAATACACTGAATATCTACTGTGAGTCAGATAGCTCTCGAAGTAGCATACCTGAGATTTTTGTTTTCTCTATTTTGTTTTTTGTTTTGGGGCCACCCTGATCCCAGTGGTCACTCCTGGCAGGCTCAGGCAACAATATAGGGTGGCAGGGCTTGAACCCGGGTTAGCCTCACCATCAGTGTCCTACTGTCGTACTATTGCTCTAGCCCTGATTTTCATTTTCTTAATCTTACTCATGTTTCTTAAAAAAAATTTCAATAGAGGTCAGAGCCATAGGACAGCGGGTAGCATGTTTGCCTTGCACACGGCTGACCCAGGTTTGATCCCTGGAATCCCAAAATGGTCCCCCAAGAACCTCCAGGAGTGATTCCTGAGTGTAGAGCCTGAAATAAGCCCCTGCTCGGATGTCACCCAAAAAGCAATATGTAAATAAACTAATGAAATAAACAACAAACACATTACGTCTATAACAAGACAAATTCCTTTTTAGGCACACTAGACCGGGGGAAATACACATGTGTCTGCACGGTCACACCCCCAGGACACCAGTTAAGAACAGAATGTGTGGAAACTGTCACCTCCCTCCCCTGCCCGTGGCCAAGAGGAGGGCTGGGTTCAATACTGCAGCCTTGGCTGAACTGGGGGGCTGCAGTCAGGCCTGCTGTCCCTTCACCCCCCACCCGAGTAGCGTTACCTGGTTCCTCTGAATCGTGGTTCCCTTGCTGTCCTGTGGGATATGGGTTCTTCCCGCCTTGGCCTTTGGGGAGATTCCTGGATACTGGACGCCCTGAGAACTCATACCGCTATCTAGAACTCCCACCTTCTGCCTTCCTGAGCCTCCCCAGTATTGGCACAGGTAGTAACGACTCAAAACCAATAGCTGTCCTGGGCCCTTGGAGAACTTGGACAACGCTAAATTGTTCATCTTGCGTGCAGCAACCTGAGTCTGGCCCCCGATACCCCAGAGGGACGCCTGAGCACCGCCAGGAGGGAGACATGAGCCCCAACGAGCAAACAAGCCAATTGTAGTGCCAAACTTGGAAGAATTCTTTGGATGGGTCCCTCTGATCCCAGTTGTACAGATGATGACCCAGACCCAGAAGAATGCAGTGTGGACCCGTCCAAGGCCATACGGCAAGCAAATGACCCTGACCACATTCAAACTCAAGGCTCTTCCTGACCCCACCATTCCAGACTCTGTTTGCCACCACTGCCGGAACTGCATTTTTTATTTATTTATTTATTTATTTTCTTTATGGGTCACACCCAGCGATGCACAGGGGTTATTCCTGGTTCATGCGCTCGGGAATTACTCCTGGCTGTGCTCGAGGGACCATATGGGATGCTGGGAATCGAACCCGGGTCAGGCCACGGGCAAGGCAAACACCCTACCCTCTGTGCTATCGCTCCAGCCCCCACGGCACTGCATTTTAGAATAGATGTTTTTTGTTTGTTTTTGTTTGGGGGCCACACTTGGCTGTGCTCCGGGCTGACTGGCGGTGTTTAAGGGTCCACACGGGGTTCCGGTGATTGAACCTCAGTCAGCCGTATGCAAGGCAATTGATCACCCTACCTCCTGTACTAGAGCGCCAGCCAGATGTTGTAAACATCATGCACGAGGAAGGGCTGGAGTGGTAGTACAACGGGTAAGGCGCTTGCCTTGCACACAGCCAAGCTGGGTTAGGGCCACAGCACCCTATGGGGCCCCCCAAGTCCCACTAGGAGTGATCTCTGAGCACAGAGCCCAGAGGAAGCCCTGAGCATCACCAGGTGTGCCACCCTAAAGTCATCAGGAACATTTATTAAGTGCTCCCGAACTCTCGGGTACCCCCATGTGTCCCTTTAACCCTCTTAACACCCTTTTCAGAGAGGAAGCAACTAAGAGAAACCGTCTAGACTGGCAGGAAGTGCTAGGTCTGGATTGAAGCCGGAGGCTGGAGCCACTGCACCGACATTCTGCAGAGGGAGGCCAGTCCGCCCCAGCATGCAAACAGGACCGAGGGGGCATTCCGCGTGGGAGCCGGGGGTCCTGAGCGCATCACCAGCCTCTGGCCGGATTACGGCGCCTTGACCATCATGCAATAAAAGGGCCAGGACCCGACAGTTTCAGTGGCTTTCCCATCTGCGGATGGGGCGCTGTCTTTGCGCCTCAGTTTCCCCATTTGTCATCAAAAGAAATGGAATGTATGGGACCTCTCTGCCCCCTCCCCCTGGACACCCTCACACTTCAGTCCTAGGTCCTTTGCTGGGCAGGGTCACTGCCCGCCCCACCGCTCCAGTGCCCAGGAGCTTGGCACAGGGCCTGATTCACCTTCTGTGACTCGGAGGAGCGGGTGGCCAGAAAGGGGAGTCAAGGCAGAGGTACCCACGAGTGCTGGTGCCCAGGTCAGTTGGGGCTCACTCGGTCTCATTTGGGGGGGTCTCTTGCACGTGGGGGTCAATGGCACGTGGAAGGCTGGTTACAGGGCTGTGAGCTGGAGGAAGGGGTGGGGGCCCAGGGCACCGGGCTGTTGGGGCACCAGGCAGAGACAGTTGGGGGGGCACTGGGTACCGCCCCCCCCACCCCAGCTGCAGAGCCTTAGTCTCTCACCCCCGGGGCATGCCCTCTGGCCTTTTCTTGAGAAACAAAAACAACCTCCTAGCCCAGCCTTGCCGGTCTCATCTGTCAGTCTGGCTCCGAGGCCTGCCTAAGTATGTGCGTGTGCCTGCGCGCGTGTGCGCTCACGTGTGCGCGCGTGTGCTGTGTGTTTCCGCGTGTGTACCCGCGGAATTCTGGAAGGAAACGCGTTCCACTCGGTTGGCTATTCCGGGGAGGGGCTCCTGGAGTGCCCTGCGTGGGCACCAAGGCGTGGGCCCGGCAGCAGGGGGGTGGGGAACATCCCCTACCCTGGAGCCAACCAGGAGGGTTTCGGGTTTTTTCCTAACACAGAGTCGGGGCGCATGGGGCGCAGGGGTGGGGGGTGTTGGCGATCTCTCCCGCCCCCACCCTGCGGAGGAATTTGTGAAATGAGGGGGCTGTCAATTTCTTCCCTCACCTCCCTCCGGGACATGTGTGGGGGGTGGCCTTTAAGAACCCACAAGCCCCTGAGCCTCCCCACCCCCGCCTGAGAAAGTGGGTGTGGAGGGTGAGCGGGGGACACCCCTTTCTTTCCCCCCCCCCCCCGCCCGCGACCCCACCCCCCCGCTCCTAGCCCCCAGGCTCTGGCGGGCCCTGGCGCGGGACCCCCCGCCCCGGCGTCCGCCGGAGGGTGGGGGCGGAGGAGGGGAGCCGAGGGGAGGGGAGAGGAAGGGGGCGAGGTCTGCGGCTCCGAGGGGCGCGCGGCCGCGGGAGCTGCTGCGAGCGGCCGGGGCGAGCGCGGAGGCCGCGGGGCCGGGGCGGAAAGTTCGCATCCCCGACGTCAGCGCCGGGCGGGCGGGCGGCGAGCGGGGCCGAGCGCGGGGCGGCCGGGGCGCTCGCTCCCACCGCGCCTGATCCGGCCGCCACCCCGGGCGGCTGGCGGCATGGACGGCGCGCCGGGCGCCGCCTTCGCCCTGGACAAGCCGGCGCTGGGCCCGGGGCCGCCGCCGCCGCCGCCCGCGCTGGGGCCGGCCGACTGCGCCCAGGCGCGCAAGAACTTCACGGTGAGCCACCTCCTGGACCTGGAGGAGGTGGCGGCGGCCGGGCGGCTCGCGGCGCGCCCCGGGGCCCGGGCCGAGGCGCGGGAGGGCGCGGCGCGGGAGCCGTCCGGGGGCAGCAGCGGCAGCGAGGCGGCGCCGCAGGAAGGTGAGTGCGGACGCGGGGCCGGGTGCGGGGCAGGGCGCACCGGGTCGGGGTGCGGGACGGGGCGCACCGGGTCGGGGTGCGGGGCAAGGGCGCATCGGGTCCGGGTACGGGGCAGGGCGCACCGGGTCGGGGCGCAGGGCAGGGCTCATCGGGTCGGGGTGCGGGGCAGGGCGCGCGGGGCCGGGGCGCAGGGCAGGGCTCATCGGGTCGGGGTGCGGGGCAGGGCGCACCGGGTCGGGGTGCGGGGCAGGGCGCGCGGGGCCGGGGTGCGGGGCAGGGCGCGCGGGGCCGGGGTGATGGGCCGGGATGCGGCGCAGCGCGCACGGGGCCAGGCGCCCGGGGCCCGGGCACACCGACTTGGGGGTGCGGGGCGTCGAACGCCGGGCGGGAGGTGCGGGGTGGAGAGTCGGGGCGGAGACCCCTTGCGCGGGGCCCGGCCGGGGCTCGGACCGGCCAGGGCGTGGGAACCGAGGAGCCGAAGGGATGCGGGGCAGCTCGGGTTCGAGGCGGGCGAGGTCCCACGTCGGCCGGGGCGAGCAGCCGGCAGGCAGACGAGGCGGGGCGCTGGGTTTCGGGGACCCGGGGCTGAAGGCGCCGGGGAGCGAGCGCGGGGGACCGGCCGCGGCTGCCGTGAAGTTCCCGGTGCCCGACGCGGCGTGCGCGGGGCCGGGCTGGGCGCGCGGGGCCGCGGGCTCTGAGTCACCGCGCCCAGGACCGCCTTTGTGCCTTTGTGCCCGGCCCCAAGGCGCAGCCCGCGGGTCCTCCCGCGGCCGGATTACGGCGGGGAAACTGAGGCATCCCAGGGAGTCCGAGCTGGCTGCAGATCCGGCTTCTCCAGGACACCCCACCAGCTATAACTCGGGGACCGCTTGGGGGGCGACGCCCGGAGGGAGTCCAGGGACAACCCCCCCCGCTCTAGGGGGTCACCTCCCGCGCCCAGAGGGACCTGAAGCTGGGTTCCGGGATCTCGGGGTGCGACGCTGCCCCCGCCCGTGTGCGCCCAGAGCAGCTGTCTCCGGGAATGGCCTCGCCCGCGGAGTCCCGGGCCTAGCTTTCCCGCGGGGTTAGAGGTCATCGGGAAGGGCTTTCAAAAACAAACAACCCGACAAGTGGCCTTTTTCAGAAAGCCTCACTGGCCGGAGAGCCAGGCCCCAGCGGGGGGGCAGGGCCCCAGGAAGATAACGCTCTGGACGCTTCTCCGAGGGAGGGCGAGGGCGGGCCAGGGGCCCTTCCTCTGCATCCCGACCCCGGAAACAGGTGTGGGGGTCTGGAGCCCTGACTATGTGTGTGTTGGGGTGGGGGGTTGGGAGGGTCAGGGGACAGTCTCGGGGTCACTCTGTGGCCTCCCCACTCAGCCTTAGGCACCCCACTCCAGTCTCAGGTGAGAGGGGCTCAGGGAAATGAAGGCGATGACAGCCTCATCCGAGACCTCGCCAGTCATCCACTGGCCGCCACCTCCTAGGGACTGCTCTCTTCTCCCGCCCCAGTGGCCCCCGCTGTCCCCCACCTCTCCCCCTGGTCACCTTGAGTGTCGCAGTGAACACCCCCTCCAAAAAAAACATTGGGGTTTCCAGGTGGGGAAGTGCAGGGCAGGTTGGGCCAGGGGCCTGGGGTGCCTCGGGTGATGGGGGAGGGGCTTCCCCCTTGGGTGAGAGAAATGCCCTTGTGGGAACCTGATGGAAGGGGGACCCCTGGGGGGAGACAGCACCTGGAAAGCAAATGGAAGCAGAAACACAAGGAAAAGGGGGAAGGGAGAGAACTAGGGTGCAGGAGAGGCGCTCAGGTTGGGCTGAGGGAGGACAGAAGGAGCCAGGCTTGGCTAGAGGTGGGCATGGGGGTCCAGCCAACACCTGGGGGGTCCCAGAACTGCCCTTGTCACTGGGGACTGGGTCATGAGATCTGGATGCCACAGCTGGAGGGTAAAGGGTCTCCCCGGCCGGCTCCGGGGGGCTGGGCCCCCTCTCTTGGGGCTCTTGAGTCATGATTGGGTGCTGAGGACAGAAGGTGTGGGGGGGGACAAGGGGGCTCAGGCCATCACCCTCCCATCTGGCTGGGATGAGGGGCAGTGGGCAGGCAGGACCAGGCTGAGCTAACTGTCCACCGGGGGACAACTGTGCCCTTGGGACGAGGGTCAGTGCCTTCTGCCTCCCATCCCCAGACACGGGACTTTTGTTCCCTGCTTTGGGCCATCACAGGTTCTTAGGGGCTGTCTGAAGAGCGGACGACTAGAGCTGGGGTTCTGGCACTTGTAGTGGACCCTGGTTTGATTCCCAGAGTTACTGCTGCAGTGACCCCTGAGGACAGAGTTGGGAGTGACCCCTGAGCACTGGTGTTGCTCAGAAGCCCCCTCACACACACACACAAAGTAAAAACAAGTTTGTTTTTTTTCTAGAAGGCAGAGAGATCCTACAGCAGGTAAGGCACTTGCCCATCAGGTCCTCTGAGCCCCGCCAGGAGTGCTCCCTGAGCACAGAGCCAGGAGTACGCTCTGCTCACTGCCAGGGGTGTGGCCACAAAACAAAACAAAACAAAAAGATTTATCCTGGAGCAGGGAGGATTTGTTCTCCTGGCTTGCGGGGTTAAGCTATCCTTTCTTTTATGAAATAAGATAATCAACTGGAGAATGTTTTATTTAATGTCCTGACTTGGCAAAGTGGAAAGGAAGTCACCCTATGGCCACGCTCACACTGGAAGCAAATCATCCATCCGTGCGATCTGACTGTTTTATGTAGTCGAGTCTCTCCCCAGGCCAACTGGGCACTTTCCAGGCAAGCGGAAGGCCACACCCAGGCTTGTGCAGACCCTCGGCTTCCTGTGGGGTAGGGGGCTTGGGCTGCAGACAGGAGGGTGGAGGAGACAGCCGGCCAGAGGGCAGGGGGTCCCTAACTCCCGGGGGAAGGCTGGGGGGGAAGGGACTTTGCTCCCTCATCCTGGAGAGCCCAGCCAGCAGGACTGAACCCCTTTCAAAGCGAGCAGACGATCCTTGGGGGCCCCAGGCCCGCTGGAACGGGCGTTATGGAGGGGCTTGGAGCTTCACAGACACCTTCCTTCTGGGTACCCAAGAGAGACCCCTATTTGCAAAGAGCGATGGGGTCCTGTCCTCCCTGCTGGGAGAGTCCAGGCACCTGGGGAGAGTCATCAGCTGGAAAATTGAGCCTATTTGCAACACGTCTGGTTCGCAAGCCTGAAATTTTTTTTTGTCTTTTATTACCATCTTTTTGGTTCGGAGGCCACACCCGGCTAACTCAGGGCTCTGTGCTCAGGGACCCCCTTCTGACAGGGCTGGGGGGGTGCTGTCTGCAATGCTGGGGATCAAATCAAATCGGGGGGCAGATGCCTGCAAGGCGAACGCCTTATCCGCCGTTCCCCCATCTCCTCTCTCCCAGCCTGAAAGTTTTTAGGACACATCTATTTTGAACCTTTTGTTTTCCCCCAGCTGGCAATAGACAGAACCAATTCCTGCCCGAAGTTTGCCCAGCCCAGGCCCCCCCGGAACCGGCCGGGAAGCCTGTGGCTTCGCCGGTGACTCAGAGCAAACAGGGTCCCGGTCCCTCCCGATCTGGCGCTGAAGGCCGCGGAGCTATGCCAAGCACGTTAGGAAAATAAACCCGCCTTGGTTCTCTCTGCCTTTGCAGGGCCTGACAACAAAAGGAAACCCCGGCAGAGACAGGAGATTTTCTGGAAAGTGCTCCCCCCTGTGGCCGGGCGGAAGCGGGGTGCGCTAGACGCAACCTTGCAGATCCCCATCCATCCCCCCCCCTCCGCTCCCCCCCTGTGGTCAGGAGGCCTGAGCCAGGGCTGGGGGCGCCCTCTGGGCTCATGCAGGTCTCCTACCAGCATCTGAATTCCGTGGACTGAGTGAGGCGATCTATACCCCGATACCCATGTTTGGGGTCTCAGGCTGAACAGGGGGGTGACTGGAGACCCCTGAAACCAAGGGTGGGACTGAAGGGACTGGGCCCGCTGCTTTCTGCCGGCTCTGTGCTGGGGGTGGTGCCTCCCAGTGCGACTCCGTGGTCCCAGGGATGGGACCAGTCTCCGCTCAGCCCGTTCGTTAAACAGAGCGCGGGCTCCAGGCGCGGCCAGAGTGACAGGACGGCGGGGACGTTGGCCTTGCAGCCTTGCAAGGACCTTGGAGCTTCACGGACACCTTCCTTCTGGGCCCCCAAGAGAGACCCCTATTTGCAAAGAGCGATGGGGTCCTCCCTGCTGGGAAAGTCCGGGCACCTGGGGAGAGTCATCAGCTGGAAAATTGAGCTTATTTGCACCCCGTCTGGTTCACAAGACTGAAATTTTTTTTTTAATCTTTTATTACCATTTTTTTGGTTTGGAGGCCACACCCAGCTAACTCCGGGCTCTGTGCTCAGGGACCCCCTTCTGACAGGGCTGGGGGGGGTGTCTGCCATGCTGGGGATCAAATCGGTCAGTTCCAGCCCCAGCACCCTCTAGGGTCCCCCACGCCCTGCCAGGAGTGATCTCCGAATGCAGAGTCGGGAGTACGCCTTGAGCACGACTGGGTGTGGCCCCCCCAAAAAAAAACCGGAAGAAGCCAACTTGATAGGACTCTTGGTCCCCAATGCTAAGTTCCCGGATGCAGGTTGGGGTCCCCCCACCCAGTGAACTCCCACCCCCCCAAACTGTTCTCTGTTCCCCACGCCGGAAACTGTGCCCGTGAGGAGTCCTTCCTGCCCACCCCCACTGCACCCCCCGCTTCTGACGCTGGGGCTGTCCTCCTCGAATCCCCTCCACCAGAGGTGGCATCCGCAGCTCTGGGCCGGCCAGGGTGGTCCTGCCTGGGTCAAGCTGCCTCCTTCTGGGGGGACCCCGACCCCACAGGTCAGATCTGCCCTACTGGGTGGCCCCAGCCTTGGGCGGGGTGGGGTACGTGGCTCTGGGTGGTCCCTGCTTGTCCCGGGAGTGGGATGCCAGCGGTTCTCTTCAGCCACACGACGGAGCCCTTTCCCCACCCCACCCAGACCCCCCAAGTCCCGACCGACCGG